CTGAAGTAGTAACTAATTGGCACATTTTGTTTACGTCACAAACCTTACTTATTGGCTGTGGCGGGTTTAACGACACATTTATATTTACGCGATCTCACCCAAAACAAAACCCTTTGTTATGAATGAGAAATAGATATATTTCAAGCAGTGATCTACCTGCAATGTCATCAGTAAGTGGCCTTTTGACTCATACGTTATATTGAACAGGGGTGCCATTATCAGACCCTTCTTCCCTATTTAATCCAGATCACATTTTAATGGGTTGTCTGGTCTGCAGAGCAGATGTCAGCTTTACTGATAGATAATGGAGAAGGAAATACAGATTGAATTCGTCGGATCCCACTTGTCAGTGGGGGCCAAGCGAATTCTACTCGTGCCATTCCACGACTGTTTTGCCTTTAGTTCCGTGGTCGCGTAACTTACGCGCAGACAAACGGCCGAGCGATTGACCACCGATAGTGTACTTAGCCTACTTGCCCTTTGTGGCCCTGTGCTTGGTATGTTGGACTGCTTTCTTGTCTGATTGCTGGAACGTTGTGGTGATGCTGGCATTGGGCCTGCATTTTTTTCATTTATCCTCTGGGGCATAAGAGGGCCCTCTTTTCAGTTTGTTTTATGCACTGTTCTGTTTAAAGTAGAATGTCAGCATCAGCTGAAATGTTTTTTTTATTTCTGCAAAAGCAGATTTCAATGACTTTCCTTTGAAATTTATTGTAAGCAAAAAATCCCATTTGAGGTACATAAAATGTTGCCGCTAGGCAAATACCCGTGACATGCATCTCTGAACCTGTAAAGTGGCACGCACGTATTTGTTTGGTTGAAAAAGTATAGGTTATTAATGCAAGGTTGTTGTAGATAATTAAAAGTAATCCATGCATGAATATTAGTAATACAGATACCCCAAGGTTGAATGTGTTTTTCTTAAAACTGGCATACTTCGGGTGTTTTCATTTGGTTAATCTGATGTTGGTCTAAAATTTACAGTACGCCCAAGCAATTTCTTGTGGTGGGTGAGATTTTAAATAAATAAATAAATACACGCTGCTCTGGTCATGTACTTAACGTTTGTCATGAATTATGAAAAACTGAGCTGTGCATACCATTATTTGTGTTGTTACAACGTGCAGGTGCTCAAGAGCCGCCTCCTCTGGTGCAGCCCGTTTGAACTGCATGCTAATATCACGCGGCGCATTGCCCCCCTCATCATTTATCCAGGAAGCACAGAATCACGTTAGAGGCGGCTCATTCGCATCGCCGCACACATTGGGTCGTAGTGGCGAGGTGCAAACGCTTTGAGAAATCCTAAATTCATTCAGCGCACACCTTACGCGTTTTTGATAAATGGATTTCAATTAAATTCCAAAGTCGTTAAGACGTTGTAATTACACGTAACGCCGTGTGTATGAATGAATAATGAGGGTGGTGTTTTTGGTGTTGTGTTTTACGGTGGAGTGGCGGCGTAGTGGTTGGCACTTTGCGCTATTCACATGGCCACTTGATTTCAATTCTATCTGGTGGCAAGTGATATCTAAACTTGTTCTGGGCCCTTTACAAATCCACACTGACCAGTGTGATGAAGTACGGTAAAACAACCCTCTTAATTGACGCATTATGGGGATGTCTTCATCCAGCAGTGGACTGGCAAAAGGGCTGTTCATTATTCTTTGTACAATACAAATCTAAACTGAGTGTTCGTTTCGTAGTACTTTAAAGTATTATTCGAGTCAGCCACATTCTCAAACTGAAGTCACTCTTTTTCCAAAGCCGAACACTTTAACGTTTGCAGTAATACGAAAAAATGAGAACATTTTAATAATTGCCGCTGCTTAACCTTGTAGAGCCTGGCTTACCTTGGTATTTGGAATTGCAGCATTGCTTCTGGAATCGTGTATTTGCCATTTAAAAAATAAAAGTGAATATAATTGAAAATGTCAACTTAATCCACCAATTTCATCTTCGCGAAATACTATTCCAAATACAAGCAAGGCACGCCGAACTGAGACATAAAGTGAATTTCCCATTGAAGTGCGCCACGGTGTGCGAGCTGTTCCTTCGCGTATCAAAAGCTATGCTGCCCGCATAATCTCGGGAGCCCACGGTGTATCATTTTTCAGTAACGACAAGACGAAAGCTCAGCCCTGCCCACTGACTTCTGAGAGCTTAGGCCTCGTCCCCAGCTGTTGCCCTCTTGTCAATACGTCCAGTCCAATAAACAAGGCCGGCATGCATAAACACACCACCTCCATTGATGTTTCGTGCCCACGGGTTCATACTCGGCCAAGGAGCGCAGACAGCAACTCTTATCATGAATGTCGCAAACTTTAGCCCTTTCACCCTCACGCCACCTCACGCTCTTGAGTTTGAATGTTGTTTTACTTTGACCGTGTGTTTTGCTTTTTTTCCCTTTCCCCTACGTGTATTTTTGCAACCATCCAGTCTGATGTTATCAGAGTGGATGGTTGCATGGGAGGCCCGATCGCACCATCAGTACATCTTCCAGGTCAATGCTGTTAGATTCACCCAAGGTCGTGTGTCGGCTTTTAATGCTTTTCAGAATGTGGCGTATCTTTGTGGTGAAGTCTTAAACGTTGGGTAGTGCTGTTGAACCTGTTTCCACAAAATGTTTTAATTGTTTTATTCAAGCAATGCGGTCCAAATAGAAATGAGTATTTTAATTGATATTAAGCTGCAGTACACACGTTTATCTGTAGCTGCATTTCTTCATATTGCGTGTGGTTTTTTTTAGCAGTATTATGCAATGCTATGTTGCTAGGCATATATTTATGCAGTGAGGGAAACAAGCATTTGATCCCCTGCTGATTTTGTACGTTTGCCCACTGACAAAGAAATGATCAGTCTATAATTTTAATGGTAGGTTTATTTGAACAGTGAGAGACAGAATAACAACAAAAAACATCCAGAAAAACGCATGTCAAAAATGTTATTTATTGGCATTTTAATGAGGGAAATAAGTATTTGACCCCTCTGCAAAACATGACTTATTACTTGGTGGCAAAACCCTTGTTGGCAATCACAGAGGTCAGACGTTTCTTGTAGTTGGCCACCAGGTTTGCACACATCTCAGGAGGGATTTTGTCCCACTCTTCTTTGCAGATTTTCTATAAATCATTGAGGTTTCGAGGCTGACGTTTGGCAACTCGAACCTTCATTTCCCTCCACAGATTTTCTATGGGATTAAGGTCTGGAGACTGGCTAGGCTACTCCAGGACCTTAATGTGCTTCTTCTTGAGCCACTCCTTTGTTGCCTTGGCCGTGTGTTTTGGGTCATTGTCATGCTGGAATACCCATCCACGACCCATTTTCAATGCCCTGGCTGAGGGAAGGAAGTTCTCACCCAAGATTTGACGGTATATGGCCCCGTTCATCGTCCCTTTGATGCGGTGAAGTTGTCCTGTCCCCTTAGCAGAAAAACACCCCCAAAGCATAATTTTCCACCTTCGTGTTTGACGGTGGGGATGGTGTTCTTGGGGTCATAGGCAGCATTCCTCCTTCTAACACGGCGAGTTGAGTTGATGCCAAAGAGCTCCATTTTGGTCTCATCTGACCACAACACTTTCACCCAGTTGTCCTCTGAATCATTCAGATGTTCACTGGCAAACTTCAGACGGGCATGTATATGTGCTTTCTTGAGCAGGGGGACCTTGCGGGCGCTGCAGGATTTCAGTCCTTCACGACGTAGTGTGTTACCAATTGTTTTCTTGGTGACTATGGTCCCAGCTGCTTTGAGATCATTGACACGATCCTCCCGTGTAGTTCTGCACTGATTCCTCACCGTTCTCATGATCATTGCAACTTCACGAAGTGAGATCTTGCATGGAGCCCCAGACCGAGGGAGATTGACAGTTCTTTTGTGTTTATTCCATTTGCGAATAATTGCACCAACTGTTGTCACCTTCTCACCAAGCTGCTTGGCAATGGTGTTGTAGCCCATTCCAGCCTTGTGTAGGTCTACAATCTTGTCCCTGACATCCTTGGAGAGCTCTTTGGTCTTGGCCATGGTGGAGAGTTTGGAATCTGATTGATTGATTGCTTCTGTGGACAGGTGCCTTTTATACAGGTAACAAGCTGAGATTAGGACCACTACCTTTAAGAGTGTGCTCCTAATCTCAGCTCGTTACCTGTATAAAAGACATCTGGGAGCCAGAAATCTTTCTGATTGAGAGGGGGTCAAATACTTATTTCCCTCATTAAAATGCAAATCAATTTATAACATTTTTGACATGCGTTTTTATGGATTTTGTTGTTGTCATTCTGTCTGTCACTGTTCAAATAAACCTACCATTAAAATTATAGACTGATATTTTATTTGTCAGCGGGCAAACGTACAAAATCAGCAGGGGATCAAATACTTTTTTTCCTCACTGTACACATTAAATGACACATCTGCTGAACAAAAAAGGTACGTATGACAAATATGGGATATTAAATACACTTTCATCATTATGATTGCATGCCTTTTGCGTTCCAGTCGTCAGCAAAAAGCAAAGTAAACCAAAGTGATGTACTGTGGATTTCATTCACGATTTTTAGCAGAGGCTTTTTTCTTGCTCGTCTCATTTGCTTCGTGCAAAAGTAGACTGCACAGGTGCATGCCAGCTTTAATGAATGTGACGATGATGTTAATAGTGGCGCTAATAAACGCGATGGAAAATCTAATGACGCTAACATTGAACACAGATGATCATGACAATCGACTAAAATGCTTTGGTTGATAAATAATTAATTTGGCCTGTATTTGTTTTGCTTTCTTGTTTGTCCTCCCTGTCACAACCACTTTTCATTTGTATCTGTCTATCCTGCCGTCTCTCTCTGTCCCTTGAAATATTCGATTGGCCTCTCTTGTCTCTTTACGGCCGGTTGGCTACATGCTTCGCTGTCATTGTATGTCCGTGTGTTTGTCTCAGTCCCTGTTTCTCGGGTTGCTCACGCATTCCCTTTGTTTTTGTCTCCCGATTGTTGTCCCCCCCCCCCCCCAACAGCAACTAATGCGGGAGATGCAGCAGATGGCGAGCCGGCCATTTGCCAGCGTGGACGTGGCTCTTGAGAGCGAGGAGGAGCCACCCGACCTCATCGGAGGCAGCATCAAGGTGAGACGAGTTTGCGCTGCAACGCGTACGCCCCGAGAGCACACATGCACACACACATGCACACACACATGCACACATGCACACATGCACACACACACATGCACACATACACGCACATCATTGTCCATTTACGCGTCGTTTCGTAGGGACACGATGTTCGTCCCGCACACCTGCGATGGGTGTGTGTATGTGCGTGCGTGCAGTGCATTAGTTTGTACAGTATACGTGTGTGCGCCAGTGATAATAACGACGCTGTTGCGGTGGTTAGTAGTGTCACAGCGATGCAAAGCAGGTGACCCGTGGTCGAATCCCGGCCATGGCTGACATGATTACCTGAACCAGTTTAGGGCCTCCCCCCAGTAAGTCGACTCGACCTTAAAAGAGTACCTGGTGTGGTGCATAAACATCAACACTGGTGAGACGAAGGCAGCTGGCGGTGTGCCGACCTTCAAGGATGCTCACGAACAGACTGTGTGGGATACACGGGGGAGTTTTGTCTGTCTGTACAAGCCACTCTATGTTTTCACCCACCAGGTAAAACCAAGTTTTTGCTATTCATTGGCAAAATACTTGTGGAAGAAGCAAGTTACGTGGACTTGGCACTAACCACAAAATCTGTAGCGTTTCTCACAATTTTTTTTAAAACGCACAGCTCACTTCATGGCACTCATCGCAACAATACAGCCAGCCAGAACAAAATAAATGAGTGTTCTCTGTGCTACATGTATAAGAGTTGTAGCTCAATCTACAGCCTTTGCCAGCCAGAATCCTGCAGTGCCTCCTTATTGCTCTGGGATTGTTTCGTCGGGTCGTCAGTAGTGACCGTGTCTCCCCTCCGCCATGATAGATTATTTGATGCATATCAGTCCATCTGAGTGAGTGAGGAAAATTGGGTGTATTATTTTTCATTTCTAAAAAGTGGGAGACCATAAAATGTATTATGCCCTTCGCGACCGTGGGTGGTGTAATGTGGGCGTGGGAAAAGTTTTCGCCTGTTCCGGAATTAGGAGAATGGCAGCCGTGGGTGGGTTGTCTGATGCAGCACAAGCCACGGAATAATAAGTGATATTCTGATCGGATAGGATGTTTTAATGAGCAGCATTAACCCTTTGTCAGCCAGTCACTTTGTCGAAAGTACTTTGAATGCACACCACCTCTTGAATGCCTCTGTTACAGTTGACAGATATACGCGACACAGCTCGTAAAATCAGCATTTAAATAAAAAAAATGCTGATGTTACGTATACAGTTAACTGAAAGTCTTGAAGGAAATTGGAGCTTTTCCGTAAATATTTGAAATCCTTTACAAATGTATTAAATGTTACATATATGGGGGGAAATATTATAACATTACTAGCGAGAAGTACCCGGCGTTGCGCGGGCGAAAAAAACACACACACATCGACTTACACACACACACACATCGACTTACACACACAGACATCGACCCACACACATACAAACACATCGACTTACACACACACATATGGACTCACACACACAGACATCGACTTTAGACACACACACACATGGAGTTACACACACACATCGACTCGCACACAAACATGGACTTACACACACTCATCGACTCATACACATGCATACATAGACTCACACACACATCGACCTACACACACACACATGGACTTACACACACACATATGGACTTACACACATATCGACACACACACACACGGACTCACACACACACATCGACGTACACACACACATCGACTGATACACATAGACTCACACACAACAACAACAACCGCCATTCGCCACTAAGTGGCGGTGACGTCACCACGACGCTTGTGCCAAGCCATGTGCACCTTGAGGCCACGTGAAGTGTCGAACGCCCGCTGGCAGGAGGTCACGGGGCAGACCCAGGTGCCACGGGTCGACTGACTGAGATGACTGGCTGGGGCACCACCTGTGCCTCCTACTGTGCTAACCTGCTGTGCTTTAGCCACCCGGCGCTCCGCTCGTTGTTGTGAGCGTCGCTCCTCCGCCCTCCTTTGTTGTTGGAGGGCGACTGCCTCCAACTGCCCAATAGCGTCCTTCATGAGCCTCCTCCACAGAGGCCGATCTTGACACCGCTGGTACCAGTCATCGGCAAGTCCACTCAGCTCCACGTCCTGCTGTACCACATCACTCCATCTCTTCTCTAGCCGGTGCCGCGCCCGTTTAGCCCCCTCGATCTGGCCGAACAAAAGCTGTTTCGGCATGCGGTGGCTGGGCATGCGGGCTACATGACCCAGCCAACGCAGCCTTGCCTGCCGGAGGAGCTCACCGATGGGACCTTGCCCAGATCTTTCAAGAATTTGTGAGCTCCTCACACAATCCAGCCTGGTTAAACCCAGGATGGATCGTAGGCAGGCTAGCCTAAATGTTTCTAACCGGCGAAGATGTTCCATTAGGGGGGTCCACGTTTCGCAAGCGTAGAGAAGGGAGGGAATGACCGTGGCCGAGAAGACCTGAAGCTTAGTGCGGAGCGACAGACCAGGTAACTTCCACACAGCGTTACGCAACCGATGAAAAGATATTGCCGCTCGACTAATTCGGAGTGAGACCTCTGCTGTTAAACTGGAGCCAGTCATAAGCACACTGCCCAGGTATGGGAAACTCTCCACTCTCTCCACAACTGCCCCATCACCGATTGGGAGTTGTGGGGGTGGAGTGTCCGATGGTACAAAATACCCAGGCAGGTGCTTAGTTTTCGTGGGGCTGATGGTAAGGCCCCATCTCTTAGTGCCACGCTGCAGTCCCAGCAGCAGTGTCTCCAACTCCTCCTCTGAATGAGCAGCTATTACCAAATCATCGGCATACATAACGTGGTTGAGCAATAGGGAGCCATCCCTTGACCGCACCCGGGCATCGATCAGCCTCCCATTATATCTGTACCATATGGAGATTCTCCCGGTGCAGCTATTGAAGGCTTCACGAACTACGTGGTCAAAATAGATGTTAAATAATGTGGGAACCAGAGGACATCCCTGTCGCACCCCAAGGTGTACAGGGAATGGCTCTGACTCCTGGCCACGTAGTTTTACCCGGCCCGCTCACCATCATGAAGGTTCTTAATGATCGTGAGCAAAGGGTCAGGGACTCCAAAAGCACGAAGAACAACCCAGAGCCCAGGCCTACTGATGGTATCATAGGCCTTGACCAGGTCAATAAAGCAGAGATGTAGGTCTTGTTGGAATTCCCTACACCTCTGTTGTAGCAAACGGACAGAAAATATGGCATCTGTGCCTGACCGCCCTTTCCTGAAACCGCATTGGGGCTCCGCAAGCCTCTCCTCAGCGTGCCTGGCAAGGCGATGTTGAATAATCCTTGCCAGGACCTTTCCCGGCACACTGAGGAGTGAGATGCCCCTGTAGTTGTTACAGTCTGTGCGGTCCCCCTTCTTAAAGAGGGGGACCACCAGGGCATCCTTCCAATCCTGCGGAACCCGTCCAGTGGTCCAGACTGTTGTTATGATGTCATATAGGGCAGTCTGTGTACAAACGCCACCCTCCCTCAGCATTTCGCTTGGGAGATCGTCTCTACCCCGGTGCCTTTCCTGGTCTCAGACTCTGGATCGCCTTCAGTACTTCCTCAACAGATGGCACCTCAGCCAGCCACTCACAAGGGGTGACTTCTTCCAATATTTGAGGCACCACAGCCTCAGCAGGGTCATCCCCACTTTGTGCCACGATGTTTTCCTGGCTTGGGGATTTCCCCTCCCCCAGGACCTCACAGAAATGCTCAGCAAATCTGCAAACCTGTTCCTGTGGGTCGGAGATTGGATCACCGTTTTTTCCCCTAATGATGGTAATAGGTGTGGCGCTGCAGGTTATTTTTTTGATGGAGTTAGATAGAGATTTGTGATCACGGGCCACTGAGGCAGACTCCATCTCCTCAGCAACCCGCGACCACCACCCATCCTTGCAGCGCCTCATGGCTGTCCGAACCTCCGAGCGAAGGCTGCGGTAAGCCTCCTCATTCTCTGACGTGGGATTCTGTAGCCGATGACAGTGGGCCTGTCGCTTTTTATCAACCATCCTGAACACCTCCTCTGTCAGCCAGGGTCTCTGGGGAGGTCTGGACCGCGTACCCAAAGCAGCCATTGCAGCTGCATGAGTCACAGTCCTAAACCTCGCCCATTTACCCTCGACATCAGGAGGAGTGGGGGACGATGCCAACCCCAGCCGCAAGCGATGATGAAATTCTCGCTTGCAACTTTCATCATCACACACAAACACACATCGACTCACACATGCACATAAAGCCACACACACACACATCGACTTACAAGCAGACATATGGACTTACACACACAAAGCGACTCACTCACACACAGACTGACATACACAAATGGACTGACACACACACATGGACTTACACACACATAGACTCACACACAAACACACATCGACTTACACACACATCGACTTGCACACACACACACGGACTTACACACATCGACTCACACACACATGGAGTTACACACACACAGATCGACTCACACATACATACATACACTCACACACACACATGGACTCACACACACACACACATGGACTCACACACACATCGACTCACACACACACATCGACTTGCACACACACACAGCGACTCACACACACACATCGACTTACACACACATCGACTTACACACACATGGATTTAAGTGCACACATAGACTCACATACACAAACACACATATCGACTCACACACACACACATATCGACTCACACAGACATTGACTTACACACAGGCATCGACTTACACACACACACACGGACGTACACACACATCATCGCAGACAAGCACATCGACTCACATGCCCAAAGACTTAGACACACACATTATTATTTTAATATTTACCAACTTAATTTTGAAATGAGTTGTCTACACACAAACATCATTTTTATATTTCCAAATTGATTTTTTTAAATATTATTTTTCTATCTACGTAAATTTAGCAAAAGAAGGAAGAACATAGCACTTAACATTGC